AAATCAAACGAGGGAGACAAATCCGCCTACGAGATGTTCCACNCGCACCGAACCACCCCGGGTTGTGGGCCGAGGCCATTTCGTGTGCATGCCATCAGCTGAACTGCACCGCCACTAAATCAAACGAGGGATTCAAATCCGCCCACGAGATGTTCCACGACTCCCCACCGCCTGTTGGGTCTACATACTCATTTCTCAAATCAGCCGTGTTCAAGTCGAGAAGAAAAGCAGGGTCACAACCCAAGGGCGAAAAAGGATGGTACCTTGGTCCTGCCCACAATCACCCCCGTGACTGCGTTCGCATGCTAACCGAAGCTGGAACCGTAATCACCACCCGCAATTTCACCTGGCGCCACGTGCCCGCTGCATCGCCCGCTCCCCCGCAGCTGCTACCTCTCGCAGATGACGAGGAGGGCGGGGAGGGCGAGAGCAGAGCGGATGCATCACGCCAAGGTTGGGGGTGGAGCGAGACTCAGAGAGTGAGTCCGACCTCGACGTGATGGAGGCTCGTGGGCCAGGGCAAGCGACGCCATTTGTGCGCGAGGAGGCGCCGACGGCACCCGGCAACGGGATTCCGGGGGACGGAGGCAGCGTTCCCCCGTCGCCCCCTTCGGGAAAGGGGCGACTTCGGCGGAGGCAGTGACAGCCCCACCGACAGCAGCAGCAGCAGCAGCAGCAGCAGCAGCAGCAGCAGCAGCAGCAGCAGCAGCCCGAGCAGCAGCAGCCGTGACGCCGGCGGTGCCGGCGGCCCGGGTGGCGAAGAGCCCGGCGACCCAGGTGCGGACGGCGGTAGCGGTGGTGATCCCGGCGACTCCGAGAACCTCGAGGAGTTGAAGTATGATCCAGCCGACGACCGCTACCCCCGCGGGCTAGAAGGGAAGAAACTCCTCTGGGGCGCCTCGAACGCTGGCCCGCTGCGCCATGGGCTTGAGAGTGGCCGCACGCGGAAGCAGACCCGGGAGATGCAAGGTGCCGGGGAGATGCCGGGGCCCGGAGCAACGCCGGACCCGGAAGAGGCACTGCTGGCGACCATCCTGGAAACTGGCGGGACGGGGATTGCTGAGGACTACATCTGCGACTCGCTTGTGAAGGAGCAGTGGGACGAGGAGCAGACACGCCGTATGGAGGAGNCAACGCCGGACCCGGAAGAGGCACTGCTGGCGACCATCCTGGAAACTGGCGGGACGGGGATTGCTGAGGACTACATCTGCGACTCGCTTGTGAAGGAGCAGTGGGACGAGGAGCAGACACGCCGTATGGAGGAGATGTACAGGTGGAGATGCAGGAAGTGTTGGGCCCGGAACAGCAGGCGTTCGGGGCTGAGGTCGACGCCAGCGGGACTTCGCAACCACTCCCAGACCCACAGCTAAGTATGACCTCGCCAATCGGGCAGAAGCCGAGTAATGTGGAAGCAGTACCGATGACGTACAAGGATGTGATGTGTTCCAAGTGCAAGGTTTTCTGGGAGGCGGCCATGAAGAAAGAGATAGATGGCCACGACAAGACTGGAACCTTTACCAAGGTCAAGGAGCTGCCCGAGGGGCGAAAGGCCATAGGTTCACAGTGGGTGTTCTCTTGGAAGACGAATGAGAAGGATCTGATAGTCGACTTCAAGGCCCGTATGGTTGCGCGGGGTTTCTCTCAAATCCCCGGCATCGACTTCCACC